TTTTAGTCTGGTTAATTCTAGTCTTTATTCTTTTTAATTGATACTTCGTATTCAACAGCATGCCGTATTTACCCTATAAATACTTAATCTTGTCGTATGAGATTACTATAAATCTATACTCGAAGAATGAATAATATAAAGATACTAACAACAATACATGTCATTAACATATAACGCGACATGCCCAACTGTTATTGGTATTGTATTCAGCTTTAGTGTTATTGAAAAAAGACTATTAAGACGGTGACATGCGAATTAGATTCTTTATTCAGAAGAGCTGAATGTTATTAAATTAAGTTTGTGTGTGTGATATGTCTCGAAAATATGAAGAAGTGATAAGGGAAATATGTGTCGATGAGTCTCTATATAACCTCTTTATTGTATATTAAGACGAGAGAGAGCTCATTATTACAAACAGCGTCATTTTATATGAAGGCAGAATTTTTTTTGTAAAATTATATGAAGACAGAATTATTAAGGAACCGGTTTAATTATGGCTAATAATAGTTGGGCATGTCGCGTTATATGTTAATGACATATATTGTTGTTAGTATCTTTATATTATTCATTCTTCGAGTATAGATTTATAGTAATCTCATACGACAAGATTAAGTATTTACAGGGTAAATACGACACATGGCCCTTTAAGGTAATAATATATTAACCACTTGCGTGACTTTATACTGATTGAACATTGCTTGTAGATGCACCAATCTATACTGTAGACCCATTATGGCAGCTCCAGATAGATATCGCTTATGGAACAGGAATGTTACTGCTTGCCTCAACTACGTGCACGTCCTTCGTGAGCTTCGACGTAATGGCATGGTTCCTCATAGGTTTCGCTGGGTTGCTGTTGCTCCTACAAAACGTCGAAGAAGAGTGAACGATCAGGAGCAACCAAGAACTAGAATACGCTTAGGTGATGATTTTTCGTCCTAGTTATCGCTAAGACACATAGATGCCTTCGGGGGTAAGTTGTATACAATAATTTTCTTACATAACAAACTGTATAATTCTTTATATTCTCCCCTTATTACTTATCACTCTCATTTGTATGCCGTCTTCTTTTGCATGCATTTTATTTTTAACCTTTGCATAAATACTTTTTTTATGCATCAATCATTTTTTTCACACACGCCATAATTTTATCCTCTCTGAAATTTATTTTTAATGAAACAGTAGATTCGGCTGTGACTTCTAAGTTGTGGTGACAATTTAATGCTCCCTGTGTAAAACCGACAATGCTCAACCATATTTTCTGCAAGCTTCTTTCAACTCTTAAAAATGTTTGGTGTAAAGGACTTTATGGGCAAACCAGCACCTCCAAATTATGTAGCAGGCCTTGGTCGTGGCGCTACAGGTTTTACTACAAGATCAGATATTGGTCCTGCAAGAGAATCTGGTATAGAAGCGTATGTAATGATTTATTAGTCGTCGTTCACTCGCTCATTGCTTATATAGTGATCCCTTGCTTAGCACTGGAAAAGAAGAAGGCGATGATGATGATGAAAGGTACCAAGATCCTGATAACGAAATCGGTTTGTTTTCTACAGCACCTTATGAAGAAGACGATGAGGAGGCCGACAGAGTATGGGACATGATTGATGCCAAGATGGATGAACGACGCAAAGCACGGAGAGAAGCAAGAGAACGGGAGGAACTTGCTCGTTACCGACGAGAAAGGCCCAAGATTTCTCAACAGTTTGCAGATTTGAAGAGACAGCTTGCAACTATCGATGAATCCGAATGGGCTGCTATCCCGGAAGTTGGCGATCTTGTAGGAAAGAATCGCAGAAAGAACAAATTACCAGACAGATACATTCCTTTACCAGACACAATGATTGCAGCTGCAAGAGAAAAGTCGCAATATGAGACCAGCTTGGATGCCACCGAACAAAAAATAGGTGGTATAGTCTCTTCAGCTGTAAAAGGGGCAGATGCAGACGATGGCATGTTGACGAACTTTAGAGAAATTGGTCAAGCGAGAGATAAGGTTTTGGGATTAAAGCTAGATCAAGTATCAGACTCAGTGTCAGGAAGCACTACTGTAGATCCAAAAGGGTATCTAACGGACCTTAACAGTGTGGTCATAAAGAGTGATGCAGAAATTGGCGACATCAAAAAGGCTCGCTTGCTACTGAATTCAGTTATTACAACAAACCCGAAACATGCACCTGGTTGGATTGCAGCTGCTCGTTTGGAAGAAGTAGCAGGCAGACCTGTTCATGCTAGAAATATTATTGCTAAAGGATGTGAGCAATGTCCTAAAAATGAAGACGTTTGGCTTGAAGCTGCTCGCCTAAATACTGTAGAAAACGCAAAAATCATACTAGGCGATGCCGTCCGCCATCTTCCGCAGTCTGTTAAAATTTGGCTTAAAGCTGTATCACTTGAAACAGAGAACAAAGCAAAAAAGAAAGTATTACGCCGCGCTCTTGAATTTATTCCAAATTCTGTTAAACTTTGGCGTGCAGCTGTCAATATGGAAGAAAATCCCAAAGATGCTAAGGTATTACTCTCTCGTGCTGTGGAGCTTGTGCCATTGAGTGTCGACCTTTGGCTAGCTCTTGCTCGACTGGAAACATACGAAAATGCCCAAAAGGTACTGAATAAAGCACGCGCTGCTATACCTACTAGCCATGAGATTTGGGTTGCTGCAGCTCGCCTTCAGGAAGAATATGGCAAGTCTGATATGGTAGATATCATCATTACTCGAGCAGTAGAAATGCTTGCCCAAGCAGGTGTATTATTAGATCGCGAACAATGGCTTTCAGAAGCCGAAAAATGTGAAAGCAATGGATCTGTGTTAACTTGTCAGGCTATTGTTAGAGCTACTATTGGAATGGGCGTGGAAGAAGAGGACCGACAGTCAACTTGGATGGAAGATGCTGAAAGATGTATTGCACATAATTCTATACAGACAGCTCGTGCTATCTATGCACATGCCTTAAAAGTGTTTCCGGGTAAAGCATCTATTTGGCAACAAGCTGCCTATCTTGAGAAGAGTCATGGTACGCCTGAAAGCCTTGAAGAATTATTACAACGTGCTGTCAAATACTGCCCTCAAGCCGAAGTCTTGTGGCTTATGGGCGCAAAAGAAAAATGGATGGCTGGCGATGTTGAGAGTGCTCGTGCCATCCTAGAGGAGGCATTTCGAGCAAATCCCAACAGCGAACAAATCTGGTTGGCTGCAGTCAAGGTAGAAAGTGAAAGCGAAGAATATGATCGTGCAAGAAAGCTATTGGAATTAGCCAGAAAGGAATCAGGAACTGCACGTGTGTGGATGAAGTCTGTTATGTTGGAAAGACAGATGAAAGATTATGAGCAATGTAGCAGATTGTTAGATGAAGCACTTGCCAAATTCCCTACGTTTGATAAGCTTTGGATGATTAAAGGACAATTGGAAGATACACAAGGAAATACAGCAAAAGCAAGGGAAACGTACAATCAAGCTGTAAAGAATTGCCCCAAGAGCGTTACTCTCTGGATTCTTCTGGCTTTGTTGGAAGAAAAATTGAAAATGGTTACCAAAGCTCGCGCTTCATTGGAAAAGGCACGTTTCCTAAATCCAAAGAATCCTGATTTATGGGTTCAAGCTATTCGGATTGAAAAGCGTAATAACAATGTGAATGTGGCCAAGTCATTGGCAGCCAAGGCACTGCAAGAATGCCCAACTTCGGGATCTATCTGGACAGAGATTATCTACATGGAAGCAAGACCACAGCGAAAAGCCCGTAGTGTAGATGCGTTAAAGAAATGTGAACACGATCCAATAATAGTTACGACTGTAGCTCGTTTATTCTGGGCGGATCGCAAGATTGAGAAAGCAAGGAACTGGTTTCAAAAGGCAGTACAGATCGACCCTGATCAAGGAGATTCTTATGCATGGTGGTATAAATTTGAATTACAGCATGGGACAAAAGAGCAGCAAGATATTGTAATTAAACGCTGTGTTGCATCTGAGCCACGCCATGGGGAATGCTGGCAATCTGTAGCAAAAGATGTATCAAATGTAGGGAAAAAGACAGAAGATATATTAAAACTGTGTGCACAGAAATTGGAGGTTCTAAAATAAAATCATAGCAAAATCATTGTTTTTTGTGATCTACAACAATAATGGGTGACATCAGCTCGAGTTCTTGCTTTTCTAATTCACTAGCAGGCTTCTCCATTTCCATGTAGTCAGCGATTAATAGACCAACAGCTGAGAAAGCCATTCCTCCTGTATGGATATATATATATCAATCAGTTAGACGCTCAACATAAAAGTGCATAAACTTACCAAGACCAAGATACATTCTGGTTCTTGGTGACAAAGCCTTATAAGATTTCCATAAGCTCTTTCTTTGCATGTGTAAAAGAAAAATAAAACTAAAACGTCACACGGCCATTTCTTTCTTTTAATACACTGCAAATGAAACTCGCCGTGCTCATTTTGTTTTTTAAGTAAACTTTATGCTGTTTAAGCATTCATTAGCTGTTAACCTTTGCCCAGATATTCATTTTGTATAGCTATGCACGAAAGGCGAACACCTCCTTTTGGAATAGTAGAAGATAGCAATAGACGCTTAGGAAACTATACACACTCTCATGAAACTGTAAATAAGTCAACCTATTCTTGTTATTCGATAGGAGAATGCGAAGTATGTTCACCTCTCGAAAAGGTAAACAGTAATAACAATATCATTTAGCCAAAGCACATATAACTTTTAAATATAGAAAACGCAGCCCTATTGTAGTGAATTTGGTAATAAACAAGCAGTGCGCTGTGAGTGGGATGATCCCGAACTAGCCGATAGGAAAAGCCAAACAATGATATATGACGACGACTCTATATCTTTACCATCGTTCCAATCATGCCCAAGAGTAAAAATGATTGAACAAAAGCGACTCATTCGATTTGAGGTAATATGGTAACGACTTCAGTTTGTGGAAGACTAACTCTTAGTAGGTCACTGTTATTTTGACTGCCATAGTGTCTATAACCATATTTATCTGGAGACAGAAAAAGATCACTCAAGAGCAATACCAAAGACTAGCCAAAAGAATTGGGGTCACAATTATATAGAAGTGTATTTGTTTATTGTCATCAGTATTTCATTCTTCCACGTTGAATGAAATAAAAAGGAAGCATGATCTAGTCCTTTCATAACGGCTGAATCTATGCCTTGACGATTTAGATAATCATTTACGCGTAATGAATTGACTATATTATCCTTTTCTGATAAGTAAACTTTGGTATTCTCTGGCATCGTAACTGAACAATTAGACGCATGACGATGATGAGATGCTACAAATAGAATAATTTGATACCAGTGGAAATGTCTAGAAATGTAATACGAAATATACAATTCACTTGAAGCAAAGTATTTAACCACACACTGTATCATAAGGTCAGATACAAACTCAATGTAATATCTGTGCTTACCTCAGCGGCTGTCTTGGGTGTTCTGTATACAAAGTTAAGACAGCTAAAATACAAAGGAGTTAGTATATCAGTAGTAACATCATCGGTTAAACCTACATGTCGTTATAATGCAGCATGAAGCAGATGGGATCTATAAATACTGTACTAGCTACACTTTTAGGGATATACTTGATGGCCCATGATATGACCGATGTACCAAGAGAATGACCAACAAAGACAGCATCAGTACAGCCATGTCTTTGTAACATCTGCTGAATATCTCTCACTGTTTCTTGCGCTGTTGGCACTTCTTCCACACAATTCATTGCAACAAACGGTAATTCAATAAAAAAGATAGGAGCATCCAGTGTAACCAATTTAGCAACAAGTGTAATATAGCACATAAGACCACCACCAATTCCATGGATAAAGACAATAGGTTTCTTTCTACGATTTCCATCACGGAACCAATAAGGAACTTTTTCTGGGCCGATATGACTACTAGGATAAGGAGATTGTTGTGGATCCATCAAACTCCAAATAGTTGATCTATTCTCTGGACCAAACCTCTTCATGCCCCATAAAAATTGACAAACAAAGCCAAATATGTTTGTGAGAAACAGCACAAGTACGTAAAAGGCAAGCGGCCTATGATAAGCAAGTAACGGATCCAAAGTGAGCCGATAGGCAACCACATCTTCATTGTACCCTTCTTTAAGCTTGATATGAAATTTATTTTCAAAGTCATTAATCATTTCGTGCAGTTCTTGTATTGCTGATTCATCTTGTAAAACGCTCTCCAAAGGTAAATTAAAAAATGCCCAAGATAGCCTAGGACAAAAAAAAAATGAATATACAAATGTAGATAATTAAACACTGAATACCATTCGGCCAAATTATCTCTATAAATATCTTTAAATTTTGGATGCTTGGCTGGATCATTAGCCAAGGTAAACCAGCCAGGTAACCAAGTGTCAGCTTGATCGATGGCTTCAAGACAAAGCGTATACACATCACTTCTCTCTCGCGGTGTTGGGGCAATGTCTGACGTCAATTTTTGCATTCTATTATGGGTAATTTGAAAATAGATATAAAACATAAGCTCGCATCCAAACCAATAATGTATGAATGTGTCAATGGAAGAGTGAATAGTAAAAAGTTTCTGCTCTGTGGCTACATAATAAATATAATAGAAAAATGAAAATGGTGCGATAGATGACTGTAAGATGGCTATTATGTGAATGATTCCCCTAGCAATGGCTGAATCTGGTATCATAGTTACTGGTTACAAGAAGAGCTGTCAAATTAGAACATAACAATTTTTTATATAGTAAATAATTTTCACATGTCACGCATCAAACCCCAATCAAAAAAATAAAAACCCGAGTTGGTTACCGCATAAAGATATTCAAATGATTCCAACAATGAAAAGAGTGAATAAAAAAGGTTGCTGTGATTGACAACAAGATAAGTTAGTAACACAAATAAACGAATGCTTTGCCAATGTTTACCTCATGCCATTTTATGGACCGACTCATATTTTTAACATGGATGGGGTAAATCCTATTTAGGTGAAACAAGGCTTGATTCTAGTATGTTACTTTGGTAGCCAAAAAAGACAACAATTTTCTTATCTATTGAATGTAATGCAAAATAATTGTAGACAATATATTTGCCCTTATCTGCTTCTTACCGGACATAAAATATGTAAAAAGAACTAACGCATAGCGGATCAAGGCATTGAGGATTGTATTTATGCTCATATAAGATTGAGCAAATAGTTGACCATTGACAAGTCCAGAATAAAGAAAGTATCTCAAAGGGAGACAGCACGGAATGTGACAGGTCCGGATATAAAAGAATAATTCCAATAGATTATAAGTCTATGGTTGATTCAAAGACATTCAAAAGGAGTGACAGTGGCTTGTCAAATAAAAGTATTACATTTTGTTTTCTTATAGCATGCCTCTAATACGTTTTACAATTCGTCTATTTGGTGGAATGAAGTATGCTCAAGTTAATGTAGAGCATGGGATGATGTCTGACACTAACACTCTTATCTTCAGCCCTTGATGCTATTAATATCAATGTCCATTTTGTACCATTTTACATGTGAACGAGGGGAGTCCTTAAAGATTTATTTCTACATATAAGTAACCTTGGTACCCATTTTGATGGTCTGCCAAAGTTTTTCCAAGACAAGAGACAGTCTTCCCCTTTTTCTTAAAAGAGTTAAAAATGCAAATATAAATAATAGAGCGGCTGTATAGGAAGCAATGCCTTTCGCTGATATCTGATTTATCCAATGCTTGATCACAATAACCTGCCTTGCTCTTTCATTACTTATAGCTATCTTGCCGTCGACGATTGTATTGTTAGAGCTAGTTTCATTTTCTTTACTGCTATTAACAACAGTACTCTCTTCTTTAACCCCCTCTTTCTCTAAAAAGTCCACCTCTTTCACTTTTATCTCTTTCTTCTTTTTTTCTTCCTCTTTTTCCTTTCTCTCATTCTCTAATGCTACTATCCTTGTTCTTTCTTCTTCTTCTTTTAATTTCTTTTGAGTCTCTAATAGTTCTTTATGTTCCTTGATAGATAATTTGAGCGACTATAGTTTTTTTTTAAGGAAAAAAATTATGTAATAAGCTTCACACTCTTTTTACCTCCAGTTTAGTTCCAGTTAGAATCGAGTTATATTCAAGAAAGCTCTCTGCAGTTTCAAAATCATACAGGCCAGGTAGGATACGAATGATATATAGCTCAACGATCTTATTATATGCATATGATATACGATCATCGTCATTTTCGATTTGTTGTGATATATGATCAAGAATCGCATCTGAGAGACTATAAAGCCATTCCTCTGCCACAACTTTCGCACAGCTGTATTGCTGCAGGTTAACATCCATACTTATCCTACATTCTAAATATGAATATATGAATTACGTTTTCTTATTTATTTACCTACATTGTAGAAACTAATCCTGGATCAACAGAGTGTATTCCTCCATGTCCTTCTTTTACTTTATTCCATATACAAAAGCAGGCATCTTGTAGGCTACCAACTTTTTCGAATCCAGGCAACTTGACTAAGCTATTAAACTTGGAATCCTTGAGTAGAATTGCTAATATATTCAAGTACAGAGTCCATATATTCATTCTTAGGGTTTCAGCATTAGCATTTTGATAGTTGCTAGATAAGGCAGCGATTGCCTTATTACAGTTATTTATTGCTGTAATATGCTTCTTCAAGAGGAAAGAGCGAAGCGCCTTATTATACAATTCCTCTGCAGACATATTCAGTTTGAAAATAGAAAGAAGGATATAAAAAAGGTCTGCCTATCTTTAATGCAGGGCATAGCCAATGAGAATAATTTTTGGCAAGTTTTATTTCTTACAAATTTATTTCTTACAAATTTCACAGAGGCCAGTTCTAGCTTGTAACACATGCCGTCTTATTGGAGACGAGGTGTCACCGTCCACAATGGTTCGTCATAAGAAATATATTTCTTTAAATCATCGCCTCCGCATTATGGTATTATGTCAGCTACAGATCAATACTGGATTGGTCTATAAAAATCATTAAATAAAATGCACTGAGAGTCATCAACTCGAGCAAGTTAAAGAACATTAAGGCTTCAAACCCCAAGACTATACAAGTAAGGTAAGTATGTCCTTTATACTTTTTGGATATATTGTGGATGATCAAGGTACTTTTCTTTAATCAGTAATGGTTCCAGAAACTAAAGTCTAAAATATATACGACAAGACAATTTTTTTATTTATTAAACCCAAATGAGCACATAGTATTTTTATATTAATTTTGCCCGGGCCAGTTCAAAGAATAAAAGAAGTATCTAAAAACTCCTCTGGGCTTGAAGAAAGGCACAGAGAAGCGGATCTCAGGAAGGGAGGCTATTAAGAGAACAGTAAATGGAGCTCATGCCTTTTTGATGGAAAAGAACTCAGGGAGTTCGTTACGATCAATATATCCTTTGTTAGCGAAGAACTTAGCTACAGCCCGCTTGACAGAACCTTTAAGGTAATCGAGAACATGAAGGATACAACACAGAAACAGACCATGCGCGACGCTTGTCCTGTTCGCTTCGTCCCAGTCACTGTAATCGAGATTACGAAGATCCAAGGGATCTGTAGGATCGTAATCATCCCGTATAGGAATCTCAAATTCTTTTAATTATGAACAGAATTCAGCTTCATAATCATTATAAATTAAGAGGGCAACAAGATGGCGATCGGGATAATGGATGCTGAGGACACGGCGGGTGTTGATGCTCAGTTGTCGCAGACGAGAGCGTAGTTGACCTATAGGAAGGCGGCGGCGTAGAGGCAGATATAGGAACTTGTAGCCATGATTGGCGGAACGAACGCTGAAGGTGCGAGCAGCAGCCATTTGAATAGGAAGGAGCGTGGAATCTTTAAGATTGGCAGCTTTCTGAAGAGGAGAGAGCCTAAATCGGGAGACGAAGAACGTTTCTGAGGAGGCTTGGATTACAATGGGAATTCGGATGCCGGCGAAGGAGATGTCAGTGGAGAGGATACTGGCAGAGAGGAGACCAAAGTGGAAGCGGGTTCCTTAGGAGCATCAACATTGGATGCGTGAGCTAATCGCTCAAGGAGGGAGGCGTTTTGTTATTTGAGTCGGGTGATTTCAGCTTTAGCTGCAGCGAGTTCTGCTTGTAATTGCTTTACAGTTGGCATGCACCAAGTCTGCTGCTGTGGATATCTTTCCAAATAAGGCAAGAATCTATAGAAAGTGATGGAAAGCTCTAAATATATACAATTAAAGAAAATAAAATACTGCTATGGGCGCATTGAAATAATATAATTTCGTCCCACCTGACCATATAAAAAAAAAGTACATAGAGTCTAAATACCCTTTTGAGATCAAAGGAGGAATAAGGAAGGAAAGAAGCGAAGGAAACGAAGAAGGATTAGGTCGACATATGCTGAGAGGAGAGAAAAGGAAGAGGAAGCCATTGGAAGCGACTGTTATACACTTTTTCCATAAATTATTCGCACACATTACAAGATCAATAACAATTCACTTTAGTTGATTTTCTATGTCTTCTTTATTGTTTAAAAGACAACATTTAATAATATATAAAATGAGCTTGATATTTTTGAGTATAAGATAGATGTGGTCAAGACTTTATAACAAAATGAAATGTTGTTGGAGCCTTAATATAAATAGTCTGACCTTGGCTTCTTTTTCTTCTTTGGACCAAAAAGTAAGGCCAACTATTCCCTAGCTAGCCCCAAAGTATGTTATATTCTTTACTCTTGTAAGAAACTGGTGTATAGTATTATAGATTATAAATCGAAAACAGTACCAATTCTAGCTGGAGGTAGTTTGGTTCTTACCAAGCCTTGGTCCCATCCACTCTCTCTCTTGCTCTCCTTCTTTCTTTCTTTCTTTCTTTCTTTGCTCTTTCCGGGCTGGTTATCGGTGGCCCATCAATAATACATTTTGGGTAGGATATTCATAATATTACTCACTTTTCCTGCTTCTTTTTCTCTTATAAATCCTCTTATTTATAATGTAAGTACTTAATATCAATTTAATAACTGATTCATTAATCATTTCTTTTATATTTCATTCTTTTACTTCTGAAAGGCTCTCTTATTATCATTATTCGTTGTCTCATCTGTTTTCTGAATTATCCTTTTCTATCAGTGTGCGAATAAATTGTACTAACAGGCTGGAAATAACTAATTTTTTTGACAACAGTGCCTTATATTCTGTTGATTATCCTACTATCATTAAAAAGTGAATTATTACCTTTACTAATTGTTTCTTTGGATCAACTATGAAAGAAAAGGCATAGCTGTTCCCTTGCAAAAAGAACTACTGAAAAGATAAAACGAATGTGTAGGCGATCAAGAGGAGTAAGCTGAAATTGCCTATGTAAAGTACTTTGCAAATCAGATATTGGCTCTGTAGCTGGGCCAAAGCAAGCAGAGCATATACCATCCCCAAGGGTCAATCATGTAATATAGTATAGAATCACTTACACTTTTTTCATAAATTATTCGCACATCGATTAGCAATTACACTTTGTTGGTTATCAATCTTTGCTTTATTATTAAGAAGACAATATTTAATACATAAAATGAGCTTGATATTTTTGAGATAAAAGATAAATGTGGCCAACACTATAAGTAACATGTAACTGATTTACTAATCATTCTTTTGCTTCGTTTATTCTTTGTTCTCTGAAATTAGCATTTTTCTATCAGTGTAATTTCTGAATAAAGCGTAAATTAGAGTAAAAAAAACACTACGAATATTCTCCTATTATCTATGAATACTAATGAACATCTCAGCTCGTCAAGAAATATAACTAAAAGGTATAAATTGTTACCTTGGATAAAGGAGTAAAGTGGTATGAATATAATGTAATGAATGTTCTACAAACATACATGATTTGTTACACGCACTTGATTCTTTTATAAAAATAATTTTATCTGAAATTAAAGAAAAACGTGTTTTCTCATTTCTCGCTTTATTATTTTATGTTGAATATACCATGTCTATAAAAACAAGACACAGCTCAATAGACGCTTTAAGGGAACGATATCAAAAAGCAAGACAATGGGCTGTGGATAACGGCACTTTATCCACATCCCCTACAGTGACTACTGTTTATGAAGAAGAAGAACATGAAAAGAGTGAAGAGGATGAAAGAGAAGAAGAGAAAGAAGAAGAAGAAGACGATAATAATTCAATCTATTCTTCTTCATCCAGCATTCCTGATGAAGATATTAACTTTGACTTGGTCTATGCCCTTCATACATTTGTAGCAACAGTAGATGGACAAGCATCAGTCATCAAAGGGGATGCAATGACTTTATTGGATGATACAAACTCATATTGGTGGCTAGTTAGAGCCTTAAAGACATCTGAAGTTGGATACATTCCAGCTGAAAATATTGAAGTAGTGTAGCTATTGAGTAATAACGAGTTTTATACACTTTTAACGGTTTATTATTGTCGATTTTTATATGTATTTTATAGACACCATTTGAAAGGTTGGCTAGACTAAACAAACACCGTAATGTTGAAGTAGGTAAAGTCCACACTATTCATACTGAATATTAATGTTTGTGTATAAGGTGACTTCAATTGCCCGTTTACCAGATCATGTGTCAAATAACAGTAATAAACAGCCAAAAAAGAAGAAAGTTAAATTATCAAAAGAGCTTGCATGTCAGCTGCAAATTATTCTAACAGATGAAGATAATGATAGCTCATATGAACAAGTATTTGAACACTGGGAGGAAGTAATGTCAATTAATTCAGCATTAAGTACTGATAACACGGATGTGGATGATATTACTCAAAGTAGTATCAGTAGTAGTAATAGTGATAACGATGACGATGATGATGATGATGACGATGAAGACGAACAAACCATCAAGACAGCATCTACATTAGTACTTAATCCCGAGCTAAATAGATCCATTCATTTAATTCAAGAAGAAGAAGACAGTCGTGCAACAAGAGAAAGTAACAAAAGTAATAAGCCATTACCACTCCTTCAGTTTGATGATCCAAAGAAAGATGTACAACGACAACAACAACAACAACAACAACAAAAATCCGTGACAGGATTGAAAAGACTATTCTCCATTGGAAATAGCAATAGTAAAAAGGATAAAATAGAGGAACAATTTGTTGAAAATAGACAATATCATGTATTACGTATATTTGCTGGAAACATTAATGTTGGTGCCATGTTTGCAACTGTGGCTGTTACGCCTGATATGAATGCAGATCAGTTGTTAAAATTAGCCTTACAAAAGTTTCATATACCCTTATTAACAGACAAATCAAATATCATCGAATATTATCTGACTGTAAAATCAATGGATAGTGGTAAGATGATACACATGCATTTTTATAATAATTACTAATGGCGCTATAGATGAGCTTACTCTATTGCCTCAAGATAAACCATTAGCCATTTTCGAGTCTCTTAGTGATCACCTTACTACGCCCATGCCGTCCTTAACATCTATCAAAAAGTTGTCTATTGAACAGCCCACCATCAAAGTAACTCGTGTTGGTGTATCTAAAGCAAGGCAACGTGCAAAAGCTCATTTTGGAGAAGATTCTGTCATACGGTTTTCGTTGCACAAGAGGATCAAGCGCTCTATTGATGGACAGGTTTATGTAAAAATATCATATTATGTAGACAATGACAATATAAAAAGAGGATCCGTGTTAAGGAAAAGTAGCTTACTACGAAAAGATGTTCACCCAAAAAAGTTCTTAAAGAAGGAAAGAATCGACAAGCTGGTAGCCACTTCAAGTTTAACTAGGATATCTGATTTGATTATTACTGCTCTAGAAAAATTTCACTTGAAAGATCAAGACTACAGCATGTATTATATGGCCGTATTGATAAATGGCCGCAGCGGTAAGATGTAAAATATCCCCCTCTCTTTTTCAACAATCTCACATCGTTTCTATTTACTACAGAGAAAATATTGCCTATGGACAGATCATTAGTTGATATACTTAATGATTCTGAACTCATTCCAAAAGGAACAACAGAAAAATCATTCATTTTACATAAAAAGGAACCGACGCAATCTGCTGGTGTAAGTGACCTTTCATATGATAGTAATCGACGTTCTGTGGTTCGCAAACTACTAAAACAACAAGATAATAACCATAAATATGGTCTGTCAAGTACTGAAACTGTCATAAAGAGGTTGGATGAAGCCATCCAGTCACTCGAACATGATAAAAAGCAAATATCTCCAAAAGTGGCACCAACTAGATCAAATAGTTTATCAGCCTATTATGATAAAAAATACTCAAATGATTGTAAATACATGCATTATTTAATTATGCGTCCTAATTATTTTTTTTAATAGTCAAAAGAAGCTTACCTACACGGTCTTCTTCGCTAAAATTAAGTGGTGATGCGTTTGATAGTTTACAAGATAGCGATCTTTCCAACATGGATGATCTGGAACTAGTAAGTAAAATAACATAATATTGATGTTGTATATTAATATACTTTATCAGGAAATACAACGTATAGCTACATCATCATAATTATCATTATAGACAACCTCTGTACACTATTATACTACTATCATTATGATTATTATATTATCCTTCTATACATATAACACACATAAATAAAACTCATTAATTAAAACTCAGTAGGGCTTTTATTCCTTAAAAAGGACATTGCTGAGTCAAAGAGGGTTATTTTATAAAGCAGTCTTCATCTTTCCTGAACTAAAGGAAAGTATGTTTAGTCTACAGTAATCTCTGCTCATTTTGGCTGAACAGAACTTGATCAACATTGGTCATCCAATTAACTTCTTAATAAATACAAAATAGAAAATGTTGTCCATTATTTATCTTAGGAAGAACATCACTATAATATGTGTATTAATACAAGACATATCAAATAAAGAAGGTATTTATAATGAATGAATAGGAATGGCCTTTCTATACCATCTCCTTCTTCTTGTCAATGTCTTTGTATTATCGATCTGTCCGTTAGTCCCCGCTTTATGTAATTCTGATGCTCCAACAGGATTAGACCACTTATGATCAGAGTACACCCAGCCATCCTGATCACAATCAACTGTCATCTATAGAACACAGTTAATAATAGTTGATTTCAGAAAGAACCAAACTTACTACTGCTCGTGCATTTCAGTATAAATAGATTGTAAAACGAAGGTTATTTGAATATGAGCACAACAGCAACTAATCTCTCTAACTTACCTATACCAAGCACGTCGTCTATCCACGGTCCTATTGCATCCAGACACCAGTCATCCTTTGTCCAAGTATAATGCGCTGGTGGAGGAATATCTTCTTTTGGCGGCAGTGGCTCTAATCCAGTGATGTTTGACCAAGCTGCTCTTTCTGATCTCAGCATCTACAGCACAATTCAGTACAGTCTATAATATTTTGTTTCTTCATACAGACCTGTGATGTATAACCCGTGCCTGCCCACCACCTTTGGTTCTCATAAACGGAAACCTCGATAGGCTTTCGTTCAGAAGTTGATGTACGAAGAGCCAATTTTTGAATAATATCTATACATGTTTGCAATAGTTCAACAAGGAAAAGTAAAACAACTTCCATAAAGCTTCCGATCCAGGTCTTGTTAAACAAAATCAAGAGTCCAGCCATCATGATAAGATATCTCCCAATATAAAAAAACATGAGTGAAGTAAATGCACTTGAAGCAAGCAAGATTCTATAAGCTGACTTATTAAGACTGACATGATGAAGATGATATGCTATGTTGTCATAGAGGCGAATGAAGAAAATGAAGGTATGTTGCATTTGCTCCAGATTTCTGTAATATTCAATTGTATTTTCATTATATCGAGGAGCGAGTACCTGTGATGCATGCTCCTGCGGCCTTGTTCCGACTTTAATATATAATACACATACTGGAAAAAAAGGCACTAATAGTAGAGTCCTTGGGTATATACCTAAAAGGTAAACTTTGTATCAGCTGTAAAGTAAGATATAGGTGCCCTTACATGTAGATATCCAAAACAGAGAAACGAGTAAAGAATGTAGACTGTTTTTCCAGCAATAAATATCATAGACAAATTCGCCCAAGTAGAAAAACGCTCTTGATCTCGCGACAAGTCGTGTGAACGCCTTGGCTGTTGCCTGTGGGCTCATGCCATCCGTGTCTCCGAGAGCGTTTATCTTTTGAAGGTGCTGTTTTAATGATTTTCGATAGGATCTATTGTTGCTTAGTAAGGTGGGAGATTTCAATGGTTCATCCAGATTTTTCATCGAACGAGATGGTTGTATATCGTCATACATATTGTTGGTTGACCTTGGTTTTCGACCGATACTGCCAGTATCATCGTCTAAATAGCGTAGACTGTCGAGTGAAGGTCTGGCTTTATTAGTTGAATACTTTGAAACAGAGTCTGGCTCAGAATCAGTAACAGAAAGACTATCTGGACTCCAACGTCTGGTTGGTCTACACTGGATGACTTTATCGCTACAAGTAAGGTGGCAGTTATAACCACATTCTAAAAAGCAATTAGATAATATATTTACGAACAATTAGAGGACATACCCGAGCATTGCACACCTTGTCTTGCTAAGCCCCATAGCAGCTTACCACAATAGTCGCAGTAGACTAGACCTTGAAAGTTTTTTTCACTAAACAAGTGATATTTCAATGGTTGTATCATTGTCTATTTTATGAAAAGAAAAAAAGAAAAAAGAAAAATACACATAAACTTCCACGTGAAAGAGAAAAAAAAAAAAAAAAAGACTGTAGCAGTTTTGTGTGAACTAAATTAAGCAGGGTATTAGTGTGGAGGAAGGGTAACTTGGTTACCCATACAAAACCACTACAAAGGTCGTCCAACAAATCATAGTCTTTGATAGGAATCATAACGTATTTATGCAATTGAAAGAGAGAAAGCATTACAATGCTCAATAAACAATAAAAATAACATTCTCTCAGACAAATGTTTTATTTAAAGGGTATCAAGACTAGAAAGCGCTTTTTACGGTAAAAAGCATAACGATCGCACCAAAGACAACCAGGATAACAGATATGATATCTAACCACCAAGCACTACTGACAAGAGGCATCTTATTATCTACTAAAGGCACTGATCGTCTTAACCATGCAGGATGAAAGACAGCAATATAGGCAAATCCAGGTATAATATAAGCCAAGAAAGAAGAAGCAATACCACCAACAAGGGAATATACTTTTCCGAGAGAACGAATTTGGACACCGCATACCAAAAAGAAGGCAAACAAGATGACTGTAATGCCATAGTGTTGTAAAGCAGTTGGTTGGCGATCTACAGTCTCAAAGCCGATCGTTTTTTGCACGGCGTCTCTTGCAGGATAAAACGCCATACTATCAAAAAGGTTATCAGAGTTCATAAGATCAACATTTGTATCAACTTACGGAACTGTCAAGACCATAGATAGACCTAGTGCCAATCTACCTATATTGATAATGTTGTCATCGGCAGGAAAATTACTAAATATATTGGAAGAGACATCTTGACCAAAGCTTAGATAGCCAATAGCAGCAAATGTGATCGAAATGGTCCAACTCATAAGGGTGGATACGATGGAGGAAAGCTTCCAGGCTGATGTTGATTGGTTTTTTTGGGACAAATAGTTTGAAAATGCCACTTGTGAACAAACAAAGGCAAATGACATGATGCCTGCGGCCGCAATAGGATCCTTACCCAGTCTGAATATTGGTGCCTCATGATCTGGTGCATAGGCTGGTGCCCTTATCAAGACAGATAAAATCATAATGGGCAGTAAGAGTACAGCAAAGGCAGACCATTTTGCCAGTGCACCAATCGATCTAAACAGATTAAGGGGGAATATCTGGAAATAAGGATGTGAGCGACACTGAGAAGGTATATTAATTTTTTGCTTACCACAAATATGGAGACTACCACTGTAACAATGGTCCTATCAGCCAGCAGTGGGTATCTAGGGAAATAAAGACCCAGCAGGATGGGTATGGTATCCGCAACAACTGTGTGAATAGATTAGTACAAAGATAAGAGTAAGAATGCAACTTACGTATAAAATAGCTAATAACACTTCCAGCGCTTTGTATAAAAAGCATTAAATTCAGCATATGGTATCCAAATCGACCCATTGCTACTTCAGCAAGGGAAGCAAAGTTAAATATTTGACTCTTTTGACCTGTTAGAATAAGGGAGTAAACAGCTGCAAAGGTCAATAGGCCAACAAAGATAGATATGGTTATGCCAAGGGTGAAACCAGAAAGGAATAAAGCAAAAGGTAAACCGATAACACCGGAGCCGACAGTAGCATTAACAATGTTCAGTGATACCTCAAAGATTGATCTTGTACCATAACCAGGTTTACTCGACTGCAACAGATCTAAATCTTCTATAATGATTTCATCAGCAGGGATTGTACCATAGTTTGGCACTTGTTCTATATCTAAGCTCATGAAATGAAAAGAAAAAAGAAAAAAAGGAGGAGAGAGGAAGAGAGCCATCCTATTTTCTTTTATCAAAAAGGAAGCCACATACGGAATATATTTTTAATCTCAGAAAACACCTTTTATTCAAAAAAGAAATGTATTGTGCAGTCAAGCGAGCTACAAACACCGCTGTCGATGACTCTACTCTACATATCAGTAGTATATATCATAATGTAATGCTATAGTTGTCTATTATTCACAACAAATTGTTGGTAACATTCTGATTTGTAAAGACGCCATCATTTTTCTTTTTTTCGTCATTTCTTTCAGCGCCAGATAAAAAAATGATGAAGTCGATTGAAAGTACAGAAAGGTCATGCTTCAAATGAAATAATATGCGTAGAAAAGAGAGCCAGCAAGATCAGCGACCGTAATCTTTACAAGGTGATTTCAGTGAATTTTATCAGCAAGTGCAAAAATTGTCGGTTGTTAGTCATCAAAAGAATGACAAGGGAGGAAGTGTATCTTCTCATATTTTCGTTGACTCAACAATAAATTAACAAATAAAAAAGCTCCTTTGTCAATTTCTTTAGTGTAACTTTATGAATATGGACAACATTTGATGGCTTTAGAATATGATTTTTATCATATCAGAACTGCTGACTCGCTTTAGGATAAACACGAGGACACTGTATCTTCTACAGCATCAAAATATTGTTTAATGTTCTTAATTTGATCAACAGTTGATAAGCTTTACATAATGATAATACCTACTGGAACTGTGGCTATATAGATTTGATTTTGTATAGATGAGATATGCTGATTGAAGATATATAAGTCCTCATTAACAAACAAAGCAGTGCTTACAAGGACATAGGTGAGGATAGAGGAATAAAGAAACACTAATAAACGGCTAACGCATATGACTTGAGCTGCAATACCAGATAGTTACTGTGAGTGAAAATTTCACTTGAAAAGGGAACAAAAGAGAATAAGGCATTTTAATTTGAAATTGTTTGCAAAATTACTATATTGAATCATTGCTTATTACTCTTGCATAGTCTTAGCATAATGTGTTGCATAATCTTAAGGTTGTCTTGAGTACCGGCCTAGGATAACTTGAGTAAATTGTTTCTTTTATACATAAACCATAAATCATATGTATTAAGGAGTTCTTGTGACTGATTCATAAAAGTTAAATGGGGGCTGTTGCTGTTGTTGCTGTTGCTGTACTCTTTGCTTAGTTATAGCATGGTAATTAGCAGCAGAAGCGACTAGTGGTAATAATTCAGCAGGTAGACTGTTTAGATTGATACCAATGGATTCCAGTATAGCATTAGCAGCAGCATTGGTGGCTAATTCTTCATCGTTCTGTATCATAGTTGCGTTGCTAACAGTTGGTATAGGAAGTACTGGAAATGACTGTGTTGGAGGCGGGGATGATGAAGGTAATATAAAATCGTTGGTTACCCTATTTTGGGATAATGCCATTTCTGATGTTCTTCTATTTCTTTTTGAATTTATGCTTGGTCTTTTATTAATGGCATGAACAGTATTTCTTCTATCCACTTTGGTATCTGTTTGCTGTCTCATCACAATATTAGGCGTCACTGGTTTCAACTTACTAGTGGTAATCAAAGGCTGCTGCTGTTGTTGCTTTTGTAATGTGCTATTACCGCCATTTCTATTGCGCTTCTTGATGACATCTGTTTTTAAACTTAATGGTCTAACAGAACCATGCAATTTGTAAAATAAACCGCAGGCATTACATAAGGGCAGACCTTGGGGATCTCTTCTCCACAATGGCGTTGTGGTTGTTTGACAATTAGAGCATCTTGTTATTTGTTCTTGTTGATCTGATTTTCTTGTTCTCTTGTTTTTTAATGAAGTCGATAATTGCTGTTGTTGAGTGTGATCATCACTATTGTAACTAGAGGGTGATGATGCAACTGTAGTACTTGAATCATGGTAATATACATTTAATAGTTCTTCAAAGCTAAGACTGCCAGGATTAACTCCGTTTGTTGTAAACATGGTAGTATCGCCAATAGGTGAACTAGGCATGGATGAATTGCTGTTTGGTAATAATGTTCTGATTTGATTATTTTGCATTAGATATGAGTTAGAAGGTACTGATTGACTAAAGTAATGATCTCCTTCATGGCTATCGTCGTCATCATCAAATGAAGAAATAGGAATTGTTATACTGTTGGATGTGGCATAGTCGTTGTTCGACACTCTTCTTTTTAGAGGCTAGAATAATGCAACAGAGTTAGCTGAAATAAAAGCAAGAAACAAAAGGCTTACTGTGTATTTCGGTAGATTGTGTTCTGTAGGGTGAAATGCCCTCATGCTGCCCGCTACTAATACATTATTCTGGTTATTATTATTATTATAGTCCATAGTGTAAGGAGGAGCAGAGGAGGATAATAAGCCTGTTGTATCATCAGCTGCAGGTGGTGTAGTTACTTTTTCTTCGTCTTCCTTCTTTTTTTTATGGTTTAATGTCATTGCCATCATTCTCCAAGTCAAGTTTTCCATGCGTGAACCATTTGGTAAATTATCCTTAGCCTTTGTATACAGACGCCATACTTGAGTAGCTAATGGATCCTTTTTGTTCTTTGTTGTAACTTTCTCTTCTTCCTCTATCTCGGCTGGTTCATCTTGAGCAGGAAACAATGAATCAGATAAGACTTGATCCATGATATGCTTTGATGACTTCTTTATTGGTAAAATGGACATTCTTTACTTAAAAATAGAGGGAAAAAAAGGATAAAATATAAAACGCGATTTGTTCAACTTGTATCACAAAAAGATCGCTTAAAATACATTTATGGCACTCCTCATGCCTTAGTTATCACATGTGACTATGGTTTAAACTTTATCAAAACTAGTAACCACTTGCTTATTTATATAGGACACTATTTATATGCTTTAAATTATGGTAAATATATATATATATATAGTATATGTACATCATTTCATATTTTATTCATAAACACCACAATGTACCCTATACGCACGGTGACAGTCAATATCTTTGTATATCTTTTTATCAAATATGTGCTTTATTTTTGTTTCCCGGTCAATTCCGATTAAACATCATTATATTATATAACGTCATGAGTTTTATATGAACATTTATAAAAAAAAGTATAACATCTTCAATCATAGAGATAAATTATGATGGTAAGTTAAAGTGTAGGCCTTTTTTTTTCTTTCATTTCTCTTATCGATAAGATTTGATAGAAGAGCACTCTTTTGTATTTTTTTCTTTAAACTTTTTTTCCTTATCTCTTCTTTTTCCTTTTTTGGTATTTCGCATTGAACGGGACTTATTTTCTGTGTCATTGGCTTTAAAAGTCACTTTTGATTTATCATTTGTGGGGGGCGTTTATTTATGAAGTGATTCTCATTTTACCTCCAATGAAGCACTTTATTACATCCATGAGAGCAACTGTAATAAAATAATAGATAATAGTGTTTTTTTCTTATAAATTTTAAACAACTTGGTATCTTCCAGTTCCACCAGCTCCACCTCTTCGTTCGGCTTCCAATTGCGCTGTTGTTGCTTCCAGCAGCACTCGTTTAATTTCAAGTTTCGCCTTTTCAACAACCATTTCGGAATCACCTTCAATAAACAGGTACAGTTTACGTTCATTGCCTGTAGGCTGCTTGCCTGCTGGGAAATAGGAACCTCGGGTGGTGATAGCAGCACCTGTGACTTCAGTGATTTGTGATATTTGATCCTATTTAAAAGAATTTATATTAACACTTGGGAGTAAAAAGTATCTTGTTTACCTTATTCGTGACTCTCCATCTTGCCTTTTGGGGATAGTCATTGATTTCAATTTCCTCTGTATATACTGGACGCCCTTCTGCACCGTCTGTACCAACCTGTACACTTGCTTTAAGAGTACTCATCTTGTTAATACGCGCTGCAACAGCCGCAGCAGCTTCCTTAGCAGCCATGGCAGCTGCACTAAGTTGCTCTTCTGCTCCCTTACCTGCCGATGCAGCTTGAGCAGCAGCAGCAGCAGCAGCAGAAGCAGCCTGACCAGGCACAACAGGCTCAATTGTTTTGTTGTTAGGAGCCTCATCAGTATCCATTTTAGTCGAACTTGTTTCGAGTTCAAAGTCTTCTTCATCTGTATCTTCATCTCCGGTACCATAGGCTTTCTTTTGAATCTTTTTGACCAAGTCACGATCCTTATCAAGACGCTCAAGGCCTTTGCCACCAAAGCCAGAACCACTGGCTCGTTCTTTGCCTTCCTTGACCTTGCTCTGGAAAGAATCAGCTAATGCTTGCAGATCAGATGGGATCTCTTGTCCACTGAGTTTGAGAGCTTTACAAATATCCATAGCATATCGGTCCTGGTCTGGCGTGATGAAGGTGTAAGCTGTACCTTTGTTTCCAGCTCGACCTGTACGCCCGACACGGTGAACATAATCTTCCATATGATTAGGGCATTCGTAATTGATAACTACCTTGAGATTTTTCACATCTAATCCACGAGCTGCTACCGACGTTGCAATAAGGATGTTGGTAATACCGGATTTGAAATCATATATTGTACTATCTCTGTCGGCTTGATCCTATTTAATGATATTGTTAGAATAAGTATAATTTATGTGTATCAATCTTACTTTGCCACCGTGCAAAGACTGACAAGGGTACCCTCTTCTCATTAAATCACGAAGTAAGTTGTCTGCTGCTTCTTGACGATCCACAAAGATAATCGCACTAGCATTATCTTCTCCTTCATCATGAAAGAGTTTACCCAGAATTTCCAAAAGTCTTACAAACTTTGTCTTTTCTTCTCTAACTTCTACTATTTGAAGAACATCTTCACATACAACACTACGACCTCCAACAGTAATTTCTAATGGCCTTTTTAGCACTTTTCGTGCTAAAGCTTCCATCTGACGAGGAAATGTCGCAGAGAACAAGACTGTTTGACGATCAGGTCTAACGTTATTAACAATTTTCATGACCTGCGGTTCAAAGCCCATATCAAACATACGATCGGCTTCATCCATTACCATATAGGTAACACGTCGAAGATTTGTTACTCTGCCTGAATTGGCACAGAGAAGATCAATCATACGACCAGGTGTACACACAATGATTTCACAGCCTCTTTTTAAATCTGCAATTTGATCTTTAATAGGGCTGCCACCATAAGCGCAAACAGCCTACGTAAAAAATGTTTAAAAACGTGTATTTTTTCTTCTTCTTGCTTATGCTTACCCTCAAGTTGAGTACTTTTAAGAATGGTTTACACTCTTTATGTATCTGTGTTGCAAGCTCTCGAGTAGGAGTCATAATGACAGCAATTGGCCCTTCACCTGCTTCTAGTGGCCTTTGATCCTTGATATGACGAAACATAGGAAGCAGAAATGCAATCGTTTTTCCAGAACCAGTCTTTGCCACACCAATAACATCACGACCATTCATGACAGCAGGTATAGCTTGTGCCTGAATAGCAGTTGGTTTTTCATACTTTAGTTTACGAATAACCTCAAGGCAGCCAGCAGGAAGCCCGCAGTGTGTCCATTTGGTGATTGGTTTGGGACAATTGACGCCACGGATTTTAATACCATCCAATTCGATACGGAGCAAATCAACTTGATCAGGTGTCATTTCTCTCAGTTCCGGTGGCTCAATATAAAAGTCTTTCCTAAAGTCTTCGTACTCTATCTTTGAATGATCTACAGGTGCAACATCCTTTCGCTTGACTTTCTTTGCTGCATAGCTACAGGATACATTAGTATATATAAAGGTATAAAATTAAAACTTACGCAATAATATCTTCGGGGTCACTACCAATCTCCTCTTCCTCGTCTTGTTCATTTCCATTTTCATTAGTATTTTCATCGATATCCATAAGTGAATATCCTTTATCAGCCTTGCTTAGCTTTTCAAAGCGCTTCTTGTCTTCTTCATTTATTTTTTTTGCCTCTTCACGAACATCCAACATGTAAGCTTCTAAAGGATCCATGTCTTCATCCTTCATAATCACATCTGGTTTTACTTCAGCAGCAGGATTTTGTTTCTTTGGCGTATCCTTCTTTACTACTGGTTTCTTGATGTTGGTATTTCCATTTTTCTTTAGTCCAAATCCCATCATCATTGTATTTTTTGGCTTAGTAAAAACATTCGTTGTCACAAGAGTATTTCTAGGCTTTGATCCAAGCAACGGTTCATCTTTTTCTTCAGTTTGAGTTTTTTGAAGAGGCTTAAATGTTCGTTCTGCCTCATCAGCATCATGATTGACGTTTCCATCAATCTCCATATGATCTTCACCTTCAGATTCAGAATCATCTTCCAGACTCCATTTTTTACCAGCAGTTGCATCAGCTTCCTCTTCTAAAGGTTTAGCTTGTTGTTCTGACTCTTCGTCTCTCTTTTCTTCTTCTTCTCTGGCGGCAGCTTCAGCAGCTGCTTTTTTAATAGCTGCAAACTGCTCTAATAGCTTAGGCTCCTCTTTGTCTTCCTCTTTTTGTTTTTGTTCTGTTTTATTCAATTCATGCTTATCTTCATCCTCTTGAGCTTTGTCATTGGCGCTTGTTTCTATAACTTGCTTTGATTCTTTTTCTTCTGCCTTCTTCTTTTCCTCTTCTAAACGTTTGGCAACTTCTCGTTCTTCTTTCCACTTTCTTACTCGCTCTTGTTTTCTTCGCAATGCTTCTTCACGGTCAGCTAAGCTTGTACTGATCGAGTTTGAATCGGGAGTAGTAGAAATGGTTGATTTCTATTCAAGATTAATTAAATAAATACAAAACTATCTTTACGCCGTACTTACCGTCACCGATTCTTGACGTTCAGCCGATGGCTTTTCTACAGCATGATTTCTTGATGTTGGCTCTCGTGAACGGGGTCTTTTATCATTTATACTTACATATTCGTGGCGATGTCGTGAGGATGAATACGGCCTATCATCGTAGCGATCGTCATAACGGTTGTCATATCGTGAAGAACGGTGATGAGAAGAGCGATGAGATCTATATCTATCACGGTCTCTGCTACGGCTTCTGTGAGAATATTTTGCTCTTTTACTCATTGAAGGTGAAGGAGACCTATGTCTACTTCTAGAACGGTACGATGCCATTGGGAGAATCTTTATTAAAAGAAAAAAATGTAGAAATGAAAAAAAAAAGCACAGCTCAATGGAATAAAAAAGACTAAAATTAAATCTCAGACTAACCAATGAGCAAGAGGTATCACTTTAAATGTCGCTTGATAAAAGGATGGCATAGTACCTGCCGTAATGGCAGCCGATGGGTTGGTTTGTATTGGACCAGTTTTCGTATGAGATCTGATGCTTCTTTACTGATAAATTCTGGCATGTTTAAATCCACCCTACGGATTCGCATATATGTTTTTTCATAAACACTCTCTCGACTTTCTTTGGACGGAATTTCAAATGGCGGTCGCCCCACGAGCATTTCATATAAAAGAACACCCAAGGACCAAAGATCAACGCTTTCATCGTGGTCTCTTCCTTCGACCATTTCTGGAGGAAGATAATCTAGTGTACCACATAGTGTATGCCTTCTGTTACTAAAGATAGTATAAGCATACCGAAAAACCAACAATCAGCTTACTTACTCAACAACTCTCGTTCTCACAGACCATCCAAAATCAGCAAGTTTTATATTATCTTTTTCATCTAGCAGTAAATTCTCTGGTTTAATATCACGGTGAATAATACTTCTATTGTGAAGGTAGATTAGGGCCTGTGTTAGTTGACAAATGTACTATAGAGTATGTCATTATTACTATGTGATAGAAAGGAATACGATGAGCTTACTTTTGCAGCTAAATGTTCCTCGAATCGGCTCTTTCGGTATATCGAACTAAATAAGTCACCTCTTGCAGCGTATTCAAGTATAGTATACACTCTACTGTCGTCATGAAAAAAGCCAAATAGACGTAGAATATGAGGATGTCTTTAAAAAATATTAATTTGTTTGTTTGTTAATGATAGCGCACTTTTCTAACCGTAATTGTGAATGAATGCCGATTTCTCTTTCAAGTTGATATTGTGTACTGTTGGATATGATTTCAGACTTGTACTGAGCTTTCAGTGCTATTATAAATTTACTCTTCTTCTCTCTTGCTAAGTAGACTTGGCCGAACTTCCCTTTACCCAAACAGGGTCCAATTTCAAAGTCATTTAAGGTCCATGATTTTGCAGGAGTTTTTTCTCTAAGGTTGGACAGCTTATTATAACAGTTATTGATAAACTTGCTTTTTTTTTTCTTTTACTTTATAACATCAACTAATTTATGAGACGGCGCTTTCTGAGGAACTACAGGCGTTGTATTGTCAAATACTGGAGAATCAGTTGGAAGTTGTCCATCAGTGTCTGATTGATCATTATCATCGAATTGCTCTTTAGTGACGATTTGTTCAATAAAGCTCTACAATTGAAATCAAAAGATTAATAATCATTCAAGAAAAAGGATCGCAAAATAAACCTTTTGTAAAAGATTGCGACACTTTAGTAGCATGTAACTTTAAAATGTAGAAAAAAAAAGGTACTCATAACCCACGTGACTTATATTTTCCTTTAAGCTCAAGCTGTAGGCAGCCGGTAAGCATATTGTAAATTTTGTAAACCCTGGATTTGAGTGTGTTGTAAAGGATAATAAAAATAGAAGTTTGTGTGTTTGTATTAAAAGTGTTTAAAAGGTAAAGTTATAATAAAGGTTCATTGTGTGGCCACCAGGTCGTTTAAAGTTGATCAGACTGAGTTGTACAGTAAAAAGAGTAATAAAGATAAAAAGGTTCCTGAATCCACTTGGTTGGATTATTCAGAAGTTAATAAAAGATAAAAATAAAAAGGAAAAGGTTGTGATTCAAATCGTAGGTGATTTATTGAATGAATTGAGCTTTTAGCAAAGCATTGCTCTTTTAATTTTGTTAAAAAAAAAATAAGGTTGTCGTATCCCACGTTGAATAAGAGTTAATAAGCAGTGTTTACATGTCAATAACAAAAGTTCAGTAACATAAACTGACCAATCATAATAATAATTACAATTCTATATAATATGTGTAACTATCAGTTTTAACACTTTTATCTTTATTCTTCCAAATAAAAGAAACATAAAGAGTCCCATTGTATTTTTGTCCATTACAACCATAACAACCACAACAACATCACAAAGGTTGGTCGATATAAAAAGCAGAAAATGAAAGGTTCAGAAACATGTAGTTTTCTGCATGGAAACGGGGTCTTAATCCCGCTCAGCAACACGGACCATGTTAATAGACATCTTCACCTTCATCGAATAGTTACACCAATCTTACTTCGATTGGGCAACGTGCCTTCCTATCACAGTGTGCTAGTATACGCCACAAGATAGTAAACACTGTGACTTCGTTTTTTCCCTTTTTCAACATGTGAATTCTGGCAAAATAGTTTGCCGAGTGGCTTACTGTAAACGGCTTTGAATTTGTGGCGTATGTTTAAATATTACAGTGCTTGCATTCCAAAGTGACAATATATTAAAGAGTATACAGTCCTGGCATAAAGCTAATCTGATTACCACTACATTTGAAATCAATAATAATGTTTAATATTTTATAAATGAAAAAAACGGTGTGGACATCATCATGTGTACCAATGAGTACGAGCTAAAGAAATAAACAAAATTTTCATGATTTTATACTATATACAACATATTTTAAACACATTCAAAAATGAACTTTACAAAGAAGCTTTGTAGTTGATCAAAACAGTACAAACCTTCATTATTGTGAACAATGAGCTAATTGTAAAAAGCAAGCCCATCCTGTAAAATAAAGTCACGCTCATGATTCGATTTTGCTATTCTTATTATTTCTCTCCTGAATCCAAATGTCAAGAAGTTTGAGTATTTATCGTCAATTATTAAGAGAGGTTAATAAACAAGTAAGAGCTATTGTATATTGAAAAACTATTTAATAAAGCCAATTTAGTACACCAAAGGAGCAAATAATCCTAGCTTTGCTCAGGAATTAAAAGCAATTTATAAAAGCAATCAACATGTTACAGATCCTTCAAAAGTAACAGCATTGAATAACAATGCTGAAAACGTCTTGACTTATCTTCAAAGCTCCAGAAAACATAGAGTAAAGAAAAATGAAATTCATACAAGACTATAGCTAAATAATAGTTTTAGGAATTAAGGGAGCTATATTCAGCAATTGTATTGGAACAAAAGAAAAAGATTGAGCTTTCAGCCAAACGTGTAGGACTTAATTTACCTAGACAATATGATCCAACGAATCCCAGTCCACTTGAATAATAGTAATAAACAACTTAGACATATGCTGTCTTACTATGAACAAGGTTCATCTGTCGTTGTTCTTTGTATATTTCTCGAATAAGAAATCCAGCGACGTCAATATCCTTTGAATGAAACTATTAATGATGATAAATACTAGCTATTGTATTACTTACCTGCCAGTAGGACATATGTACGCTTAAGGCACTGATATACGCGTTCTCCAATAGCCCTTCCTGCAAGCAAAAGTCAATTCTTCCTGTAGGATTCAGCATTTTCAGCTTTGCTTCGCATGTTGTAATTGCTCTAGAAGCTTTTATTTCTGGATCACTTTGAGAGCGCTGCTTAAGCTCTGTGACATCTTTTTCTTGCTTATTAAAGCCTAATCCTCGCATAAACAAGCTGCTTGTAATGCCTGATTTAAAAGATTCAAGCATAGCTCCAGCCTTAGTAGCTAAATCGTTTCCAACAACAAAACCAGCGTCAAGCATACTCTTCAATCCACCCTTAATATATGGAATTGAAGCTGGTTTTAATTTTGCTCCATACTGTCTTGCGACCAATGGTTCCAAACGATAGGCAACTGGATCAGATCTATGGAAAATGTTGTATACATGGTCAACAGCAGGGTATGCAAATGACACAGTAGCAGATGCACCATTTGAAGGAGAAATGGGATGATGGGGAACAGTATTGGTGGCAAGCGCCTTTCGAGAAACCATTTTATGACCTCGCAAAACCATAATCATACCTAAAGGTGAACCAACAGCGAAGAAATTCTTTACAGAGAAATTAAGAGTAATCGCAGGTTTCTTTTCGGTTAATATGGCTACGGTATCTGTATCAGGTTTTTGATTTGCTGGAAATGGCTGAACAGAGAGTATATCAAAGGCTAATAATGACTTTTTTTTGTATAAATGATTAAGTACAATGGTTAGGATATGTAAAGGCGCTTACTCCGAGCGAATGACCAAGGATAGAGACTTGCCCTTTATTCTTTAAAAAGCTTGGATTTCTTTCAATAAACAACTTGTATACGCGATTTATTTCTTTAGTCACAGAGTGGATCATTTGATCGTGGTACTTGTTGGTAAAATAGAGAGGTACTAGAAATATATAAGATCTCGTTTATACCTTGTTTAATTTTACTTACTATCTAAGAATACGTCAGAGACAAGTGTTCTTATATTTGGCACGCCATCTAGCGTGATTTCGTCTATGGTTGGGCATCCATCATCAAATCCTTCGGGTGATAACCCCATATCGGATTCTCGTTCAATGCCGAGTTCTGCTTCTGCTCCCAGCCTAATGCTATTTCGCCACAAGATAGGAAGTACTTGAATGCCATTTGAGCGCTTTAATGGCTTAGTTCCAGATAATGCAATCGGCCAAGTGGATTTCATTGTCTTTCTCAGCAAGTTCACATCTTGATCGCTTGTTTAATATAAAAATAACATATATATCTACAAGCATTTACCATGTACGAAATTCTGCCCTAAGCGTTCAGACATTTTTTGCCCAATTCTTTTATATGTTAGTTTATAGAGCAGTACATCCTTTCTTTATATACCCATGGATAACAAAGACTAGATGATCAATGGCCCTGAGGTCTCCTTCACTTTCTTCATTCTCGTAATCTTCCGCTTCCTGTTTTATCATATTTTCCTTATCAAACTCTTCTCTTTTCTTGTGGTCATTTGGAGGTAGGGTATGTAAGTTGTCTTCTTTTGGTTCATTTTCACTCTTTATTGTCTGCTCCTTCTTGTCTGCTTCCTCTTTTTCTTCATTCTGTTTTTTAGTCTCCACCATAACTTCTCGATAACCACGAATCAGTTGTCTACCACCAAGGATTTGGTTGTTTGTCAATTTTGTAAGTAAATTTTTAGCAATCTTGGCTCCAGTCGTGTCACTAATCGTAGAGGTTAAGTTGATTAATAAAACAGGATGGGTCGCTTACTACAGTAGCCAAGCATGTGCTGAATCTTTATAAACAACATATTGTCCCAAATAAGGGCCCAACAGATATTCTTTTTCTTCAATGTACTCTTCAATACTGTCCTTTCTGGGGGCAGTATCATCCAGGGCGTCCGTACGTTTTGCACTATCTTCTGTTTCTTCTTCAGTTGGTTGTATTATCAGTCGTTTGTAAGGTTTATGCTTCCTATAACAATGAGTTAGCCTATGTTATGACACTATGATTTGTATTACAGATATCCTTCTTCGATTTGTTTTGCCATTTTTTCTTCGCACGGGATCCATGTTCCATCTATTTGAACGAACCAAGTAGCTCGACGTACTTCAAATATAGGACCTTCCCAATAAACGGGATTAATTTCTCGTTTGGTGATATTGACCTCGAATAAATGGTCTTCATTTACAGGAACAGTTTGGATATCCGATCTACACGCTTTTTCGAGAGCTGCATTGTCGCGCTTTGAGAATGGCACCCAATTTTTGGGCGGTGATCTAGTTTGCTCAGTTACACCGAGTCTCTTTGCTTTTCTGAGTGCTATAGGATCTACAATAGGACTGTCAATCGCATGAAACCTAAAAGTATTCCATTAAGTAAGGACAACTATTATCCATCAATCATGCTATAGTTTACCAGTGAGCTACAAGTGAAGGTGGCGTTAAGGTATCAGTTTGGTCAGAGATTTGCAGCATTTCAAGTGTAGAGAAATAAATAAAAAGAGAAATGTTAAATTAAAGTCTGAGGGAATTTCAAAAGTTTGTATTCCTTTCTCCGATGAGGGTTGCAGGAGCATGTCTAGGATTGTCAAGGTTTAAAAATGATAGCGTGTTTCTTTCCCCCTTAAACGCCTCCTTCTCCTCTCTCTTTTTTTTTTTAATTTAACAATATTGCATTCAAATGCAGGAAGGATACATTTGTAAAAGAGAGAGATAGGGCCTCTATAAGGAAACAGATTACAGATCATTAGGATAATACCTTCACCAATAGAGTTTGAACACAATTAGATTTTCTCGTACAACTGCAATGAACGGGGGATAGCTCTTTTTAGAACAAGATAATCTATTCCTCAAAAAAAAAAGATTATGCATGTCTTTCAGAATTCATAAGATCAAACTCAAGAACTAGGTTTAAGTACTGTGAGCATCTATTATTTATTAATGATTCTTATATCGGAGTACAAACAATGTATTACGAATAGAGACAAACAAGCATGATTGCTCCAGAATCAAAAGGTTTATATAAGCCGCGTTCATCCTTTAATGCATTTTGTTTTTATCATTTATATGTTCAAAAATGGGAAGCCTTTAGTCATCTATTTTCAAATTTATGTGCCAAAAGAAAAGAAAAGAAAAGAGAAAGAATAAAAATTTTCAAAATTTTTTTCTCTCTCTCTTTTTTTTTTTTTTTTT